CGATTTAAATCCGGAAAAATAGTTTCATTTCCTATGTGTAACAATCGCGAAAACCTAAGAACTCGAATTTATTTGTGTTCAATCTTTATATTAATAGTCATACAAAACAAGTGGAGACGTATTTCACAAAAAGAGAGATTTTATGTCATCAAAATTGTCATCATTTCTATGTATTCCCGGCCCTTATAACCAAGATAGAGGAATTGCAATAATAGTGTTATAGTCTGTCTTTTTTGAAGACCTACTGTACATTAACGATATGATATTCATTAGAAAGTTCTTACCAAGCAATCACCAGTCTTAGAATCACAAGCAACGGCTCGTCCATTGCATTTACACGGTTGTGTTTCTCCCTCCAAGCTGATAACGATTGTGCCAGCAACGTTGGTGAAGTGGACTTTCTGCCTCGGCATCCAGAAGCCGATGGCTGGCTCCTGGCAGGAGGCCGCTGCGTAGCCACGAGGGCAGTCGCAGAGCTCCACGCCGAGCGCTGGCTCGGACCGACTCAGGCCGGGAATCGCTGTGTCCAGAGATACGTTGAGGAGTCTGAGGAATGAAAGCAAGTTAATTTTTAAAAACCATTTAGTCCCTTTTCGGACGTAAATTCAAGAATTACAAATAAAATAGCTTCTACAATTGTGGTTTAGAAAAGTATTAACAATATAGGGATGATTTTTGCATTTCACAAAAATACTTCGTAACCGAAATTGGATGGTGATAAAAATGCTATCACGAATTACGTATATCTATTTATGTTGTATATACATCTAATTCTAATTCTCCATGTGATGCAGAGACATGGACACAGAAAGCCACCGTCAGGCAAAGAATTGACACCTTTGAAATGTGGTGCTGGCGCAGAATGTTAAGGGTACCGTGGACAATCCACCACACCAATGTCTGTGTACTTGAGGAACTCAAGATAAAGAATGCACAGCGTCTGTCTTCATCTTGCATGCAGCGTGTGATACGCTATTTTAGTCACGTGACACGTACAGATGTTAATAACCTGGAATGTTTGATGGTGACGGGGAACGTGGAGGGAAAGAGACCTACGGGCAGGAGTCCCAAAACGTGGTCGGATCAAGTCTTCGAACAACATGAGCTACCTGTCAGCGCCGCACTACATCTTGCTACTGAGCGCAACCGATGGTTGGCAGGATGAAGTGGAGTCACGATCCTCAGCAGTGAGGAAGCGATTAAGAAGAAGGATTTTATGTTGTAAGTGCAATAAGTTGTAAGGCCGCGTTGAGACAAACTTAGGTTATTTAATTACGATATGCACAATGCACTTACAACTGTAGATGTATGTAATTCGGTATATAATGCCGTAAATAACAGTTCTAAAATTTACTTGTGAAATGAAAACTTTTGCTCTTGTTACCTGAGGAATGATGAATTGTTGTCATTTATTTGATCATAAAAACTATGATCATGTTGGTATGTTGGTTGGCAAGTTATTGCTTATCAGCATCCAATTAACAGATCTATGAACGCTGTCACGCGTCTCAAGCACCCAATACAGATGACTTACAATGCATGCACATGCTCGTCGTAAGTGGGCGCCCTGGTAGTGACTCTGACTAGGATTCGGTCGAGCCGCTGCAGCGCCAGCATGAGCGCGCCGCGCGAAGCCTTAGCTCCGAGGGGGCTGCGCGTGCGCACGTGCCACAAGGACTCGTGTAGCCGAACTGCGTGCGTGCCATTTATGGGCGGTATGCGCTAGAAATACAACATGCATTACAATAGAACTGTAGGGATAAGTTACACTACTATGGTATGGCATATTTGTCTTATTTACTAAGAAACGTTTACTATGTACGGTATGCTCCTATATTGTAATTTATATTTGTTGTTTTAAACAGGATGCTCCTAGTACGGGGAGGTATTAAAACTTATTGGTTATATAATTTGATATTCCGTATGGAACTGTCACCTCTACTGTTTCTATGTTTTGACAAATACATCATTATGTGGACTCATACGTGATGGATGTACTTTTTAAACTAGTTATTCAACAAGAAAGATATAGGAGAACAATGACAATTAAGAACGATACAGGTGAGTGCATGGCAACTGATTTATTGATATAAAATATATGGTAAAGTAAATTGCAAGTGTATGCAAAGGTTTTCGTAAAGTAACCTAATCTGCTACTTTCAAATGGTATGATTAATTGTACAAGAATGTTCCTTGGCGTCTCCTCAGAATAGCGCCATCGTCGATCGCGAAACTTATAATTCCTTTTTAAATCTCTATTCTTCAAAATCATTTTCGTTTTTTTGACCGTCTTGAAAAAAAAGGAGGAGGTTCTCAATTCGACTGCCTTTTTTTTTAAACTCCGGTCACATTTGTGAACCGATTTGATGATTCTGTTATTGGAAAGAGAGCACCTCACTAACTGTCCCATTAAAATTTGAATAAAATGTTCCACTTCTAAGGGTAGCAAACTAGGGGATAAATCTGGCTTCGCGCATTTTCCGGTAACCGATTTCAATAAAACTTGGCACATTATGTAATTCCTCGAACTTTCGAGGTCGGGTTTTTTAGCACTCTGTACTGAGATTATTTTGCATAAAATTTCATTCAGATAGCAGGTTAAAAGTATACAAATGTGAAAAACAACCTTCAAGGAAACAAACCTCATGATAATCCAAGACAATATCTCCCGCATATAATCGAACTAATGGGAACCGCGCTCTGGTCTCTGCCGGCAACTCTTGCCCGCCCTCTTCTTCGACACGAAACCGAAGCGCTCCCCCGTACGACGTGACGCGGTCTCCTACGAAGCGCTTGTCCAGCTCAATGTAGACAGGCACCGGTGGCCAAGGCACGGAGATTGTCACGTCCGGTGTATGCGTGTGAATGGATAACAGAGAATTTTGGTCCATCTAAAAGGTTGGAAAAAAATAACTTAATCATAAATAAAAAAGTCAAAAAGCAAGTTTTGGTAACTGATAAAAATTAACATAATATGTGCGTTTTCAATATCAAAATGCAGTTTTGACATATTTGGCAATAGCATATCACATAATATGTGTAGGGGTCGAATGATATTGTTATAATTGAATTATCAATAATAATAATATTTCTTGATAAATATACCTTGATAATTAACTTCATATCTATAAAATTACCGCTAGAAAAGTCGTGGCATGTATTTGTATCCGTACTCGATGTTGTGTCCGAACCCGTCAAATACCAATCTCACAAAAAAGTCACAAACCCAATCGCTTTCTCTAAGATTTTTCTTCGTATTTATGTAATTTTCTCACCATTTGTAATTTTGAGTCAAAAATCAAAGAAACAAAACTATGAATCAGCATGAACAATTGTTGGAAGTAAATCGGATAATGATCAGAATAGATAATTGCCACGATAATTATCAAAGAAAATTAATAACTTGATAATATCGAATAATGAATATGTGTGATGCCACGGCAACGATATCGAAGCCACGGGTGTGTGTGTCATTATTATTACTATTACATAGGTTTTTTTTATGAACATCGTCAGTTTAACGATACAAAATGATGTCCACTACTTAAAATCCCTTACCGTAGTAACAGTATCGCTCAAGAGCAGCGTAACATGCACTGGCGATCCTGCATGAATGGCTGCCCTCGTTAGCTGCGCTTGCGCACATTGCGCGCTACGCCCGAAGCAGAAGCACGCCGTGCAACCAGCCGGGTTGTCCATCGACAAGCCGAATGTACCCAATAGACATTCGTCACATTTGTCGCCGACCACGTTTTCCTGAAAATGGTATCATAAATTATTAAGGGGCGGTGGTAGCCCAGTGGGAGAAAAGTTGCTTCTCATTTGCGAGCTCGGCGGTTCGAATCCCTGTGGACCCATGTACCAATAATTTTCATTTCTAACATTTGTGAACGTGTAGTTGCAATAATTGTAGTTAATGATATGAAGAAAAATTTCGTGATAAAAAGCTATAGGAGAAAATTTACTACCCTTAGAAAACGTGTTCTCAATCTGCATTACATTAGAGTGGTGGAGTATGGCCTAAATCGTGGCGTAGATCCGTGTCAGAAGTGGGACTCATAATAGGTTGGTTAGCTATTTTCCAAGTAGTCCAGGGGGGCCTACTATGAGCTCTTATAGCAATCCTGTTTACGCCCGTACGTTGGATTGCCTGTCAAATTCGTACTATGTACCTCACAAAAACCATTCACTGTCCATGCAGTTTACGTACCCCATCCGAGACTAGTTTTTTCTTGAAAATGTCGAGATTTTGTTACATTTTTAAGAAAGTTCGTTTAAGTTTTAAATATTTTCGTTTATATGTACATTATATTACATATAAATTATATTCAGTTTCATAATTATTTCTTTTTAGGCTACCTGTAGCCAATTGTCAATAAATAAATGCTATTAACTATTGAACTTTTTTTATTAGTTTACTTCGAGTTTCCCATCTACAGAGTATTGTTCATAAATTATTAGCATGAATGTAATTGTAAATTTTTAAATTGTGTTTTAATAATTTTATAGACTTGGCAAAAATCGTAAAATAATTTTTAAATACTGCCAAATTTGACTTTAACACATTAATCAATGAAAATGTACGAATGCAAGATACGTATTAAATTTCAAACTCACCTTATTCATTTCAATGGTAATGATAAGACATGATATGTAATTTTGTCGTACAACAAATTGTAAAGTGTGATTGAAAAGTTGCCGATATTACAATATAACGTAATAAATATAATCAGTAATAAAATTAATAAAAAAAATATAATCATTCTCATTTTGAACACAACCGGTTAATAGTGCTTGAACGCTCCCAGGGCAGTACATCTGTCTATTTCTTTCATATGAATTAGTATGTAGTTCCATCTCGCTCTTGTCAGATGTCAACTAGCCAGCCAGAGACAATAATTAATGTTTAAAAACTAAAACTTATCATCTTGCCTTGTCATTCCTGTTCAACTTTGTGTACATCATGATACGAATTTAAGCGATGTGTTTTACCACGTCAAGTGAATTGCATGGAACTTGAGTGGTTGCTTATAAGCTCATAGTAGGCCCCCTGAACCATTTCTGCCACTAAGCAGTAAGGTAACCTTTATGTAAGGGTGTTGGTGAAATTACAAGCACGTGGGACATTATGTTACATGGTGGCGGTGACAGTGACCCTCAGGAAATTGCGATCTAAACCTTTGATTGAAATTACAATTGTTGTGGGTAGGCGTGTCGCCTGCCACCTGACGCAAGACCTGTTCCTCCCGTCACGTGATGTCATAAAAAACCCAATGGGCTCTTATTCTGCAGAGTATAAGGCTGATTATGGCGTTTAGGGATCTTGTGTGTGTAACTACATCGCCTATTCTGTATATATATCCAATGAATAAGGTATAACTAAAACGCGTACAAAGCTCTTATGCACAGAAATTCTTGAAAAAACCTTGCTAAGCAACAAACATGGAAAAACATGGTGTGTGAAATAAGCTTATTTCATTCCATAAATATGAAACAAATTTTAAAAAATGTTCTGTTTCTGATTTGATCGTATTGGTTTTTGTTTCATTGAGTGGCAAGTATATAGAAAAGCTGGCAACCGGTGCTATCTCAATTTTGACAACTTTATAGGATGAAGAAAAAAAACATTTATACAGCATCTGGTTTATGAAATAAAAATACGTAGTGTACATACATACATGTGTAATAAAAATATTTAAAAACTACGTATTTTTATTTAATAAACCAGATGCTAAATAAATGACGCAAACAATTTTGTTTTCTTCACCTGTAAACTTGTCAAAATTGAGATAGTACCGATTTACGATCACAGTCGCTATGCTCTTGGAACTTTGCCTTTGTGGCAATCATAGTTGTATTTACATAGCTGCATATTTATACAGTTAGTGGTATTTGCATAATCTCGCAAAACTACACATTTATGGGTTCTTTGTCATCGTACACAAGCAAATGATAAAGACTACGATCTTAATAATAATTGGTCATAGTTTCTAATTTAAAAAAATGTAACAGATTCTGGATTGTTAATATATTTTAAACTTTACCCAGTCGCTATATCGTTGCAAGATCAATACCTTTATTGTAAGTTACGACGTTTTGATTTTATATTGAAATTTTATTCAACGACTTGCGGACCATCTTGCGACCACTAGGTGAACTACGACGAACGATTAACATCTGAATTAATTTTTTATAAACAGAACATTGAAAATTGATTAAAGTAGGTAAGACTTACAGATGATATGAAATACTATTACGGGTTATTTTTTAGGTGTGGCTATTATTTTTGCACTCGAAAACAGCACGATGAGGCATTTTTCTGCGATTTTACAGAATTTGCGCCATACCATACCATATAAAGCGAAAATGGCCGACTGAGCGGAAGTAGGTCTTTCGAGACCTAATGTTTGTTGGCAAGCGTCAGACGCTAACTAACCACTTCTACTGTATTTATTGTTCTGTGGTATTACATAGCGATTACCTTGCACAGACAGCGTCCCGCATCATCACAAGAACACGTTCCGTTGACACAGTCTCTCGTGCCGGCGAGCGAGCAATCGCAGGGCCGACAGCGCGGCCCAAAGTGGCCCAATGTGCACGAATCACACGACAACCCGGTCCAACCCGTCTTACACTCGCATTGGCCTGTGTGGGCATCACACGTATCTGCGGAAGACTCGCGAGTTTAGTGATTTTCAAAAGCTTGAAGTTGTAATTATTAATACAAGGATAGAACATGAAGAAAATTCCTTCCTTTTCTATATTTTCCTCGTGAGTTTGGGTGTAATTTGTGGTTGTCTATGTATGTGTCCATGGCACCCGCGATACAGGGTTTCCCTAGTGCGGGGCTATGAGCGTGAAAAATAAATGACATCTAATTACCTGTACTACGAGAATCAGAGAAAACAAATTAACGTCAGACATAAGCAAAATTTATATTCTCAAATTATTCCCACCGGGAATCGATCCTGGTACCACATGTAATGTAACCCAACTCGTCAATGATTGTAAATATTTTATTTTTATTGAATATATGGTAACCAAGTTGAGGTGACAGATGCTGGTTGAAGACCAGTCCGACGGAAGGATTTTTTCTGTGTTTGTGCAATCTTTTTATCAATAATATTAAGTGCTGGACGTTTGAAAGTACTCACTACTGAGAGCTCCTGGACCGCACTCACACGGTCGACATCCGCTGGCCCGAGACCAGAACCCTGGTGCACACTGCTTACAGCCAGGCCCGCGCGTTCGTACTGGGCATACGCAGCGTCCGCTGTCCGGGGAACACACTTTGCCGTCCGTACAATCAGAACACGCTGCGGAGATAGTGTAGATAAAAATTTGGTTATTTATTTGAAGGAGGCATCTTCTGCATATTATTTGCATTATAATCGTAATCAGCAAGGAATAGGAAGTAGCGGTAGAGCTCCTCGAGAAAGAGTTCTTCCAGGGAATTCCTGTCACTTTACTTATTTCTGCCGTCAAACAGTAATATGGGTATTACTGTGTTTTGGTTTTGAAAGGCAAGACTGCTGGTGAAATTACAGGCACGCGGTACTCGTCAACTTGTGTCTCAGGGTCACGGCGCAGTGGCAGTGTCCTTCGGATGTTTGTGATTTAAAGCTCTGAATGGCACTACAACTGTTATGGACAGGCGTATTATAGTTTAACACTAGGCGCACGACTTGTTCGTCCTGTCACTTGGTATTCTATCCTATCTATTTGAAACAGTAACTACATCTGCGCTTTCAGAAGCGCATTCTGTTGTTAGCCAACGTGTTCAACTTACGTAGACACCCGGCAATGCCGAAGCCATAGTATCCGGGTAGGCAGACGTCGCAATGCGGGCCTCCAACGCCTGGAGCGCAGGCGCAGGCGCCGCTGTGCGGATCACAAGCGGCAGCGCCCGCGCCGCATTCGCAGCGCCGACACCCGCCTAGTTGTAGGCCCCAGTAACCTTCCTGTGAAAACAATAACGTCATGACTTGTCGTTATGAAATCTAAATTCCTAACGTGTTCGGAAACGAAATATTATTAAACAGAAATTTTTAATAATATTTGAAATTGTAAAGCCGGTTTACATTTGTCTGACATGTCGTGTCGTGACGTTACAATACACGCCGTCACTTTAAATTGCGACACACTAAAATAAATCTAACCATATTAAATTTATGAAACCAATACCGTTTTGACGCGTCACGACACGACGCGTGAATTCGGCTTTCATAACGTTAGGTAAAGAAGAAAAAGAATCATTTTCACGAAAAATACAATAACAAACATAAAATTATTATGAGGAATAATAAAAACTGGTCGTTCTTGACAGTTGTCTTCACTAATTAATTTATGGGACAATTAATATGCTTTCATAATAAATTTCCGGTTGATTTTCCCAGAATTTGTCATTTACGTTTACCTATCGTAAAATAAAATAAAAAATATTTAAACAGTTTCTGTGTACTTAGAGTAATCCACAACAATTTATCCGTTAAAGCTTTGATATTGTTTCTACCAATGATTCTTGAAATATACTTACGTTAGTACTACAAATAACTATTGCGAAATAAATAAATAACTACATCGACTCACCAGAATTATTAGAAAAAAATACTTAAAAGTTTCCGGCTTGCACCTCTTTGCGTTCTAAGCACATTTGGTCTGTGGTTCTAAAGCTACCTTATCATGCAAATATAGTAGAATAAAGTAAACAATGGTTTGGACTTCTATAATAAAAACTTGAAGAATATACATTTTTGAGAAGAAAGTAAGAAGTATTTTTATAAGAACTGTAATGTTCGGGATGTTACTTCATAATCTAGTTATTGGAACCGTATTTGCTTGCAAAATTCTTGTTTTTTGCTTGTGGGACTCCAGGTCTAATTGTTTTAATCGATGTATTGTATCACTTACCTCTTTTTTTGACAGTTTGTTATCCTAGAGTAAAAAAACCATTAACGACCCGCATCCCTTATGGAAGAGTGGCATAAGATTTGATTGCTTGATTAGATACCGAAAAATATAACCCACATCCTCTCCAGTTCTTGTAGCTCTATCGACTAATATTGTTGATATATAGTAGTATAGTTGTCTGTATCTAATCAAGCAATTAAATGTCTATTTACAAAGACTAACCCCTAGAGCATAATTTGCCCCAGCGGGCGTTCAAGAACAATATTGAAAAAAATGTGGATGATTTATATAAACTACACAACAAATATATTGTGTAGTTTTTCCTTGTGATTTTTTGTGGTTAGTTCATATGAAAAATACGCGTTTTCAATTATTATTTGTGTTGGCGGGCGTTCAAATTTTTTTATCTAGCCTCAGTGCGGTGATGAGACGAAAAAGTTTGGGAACCTATGCCCTAGACTTTCTTTCTTGGAAGTTTCTACCTACTTAATAGTAGTATTTAATCAATATGACGATTTCAAGTGTCACTCTCAACTTTGAATTTTAGAAACTTATACACAAGTGCTTTTTTATTAAGAGACATAAAGGTGCGGTATCGTATGCGCAGCCATTGCGTAATTCGGCTTAATCAAATTCCTGTTTCAACTTTATTTTATTGTTTTAAGGAGTTAAAATGTGGTGTTGCTGAGTTTGTTTTAATAGTCATCAATTTGCCAAAAGATTTATATATTAGCATGTTTTTAATTCAAGAATTAAGAGACAGGAGACGGTCCTCTAAAGACGACTTTAATTATAATTTAATAAAGAATATTTTCAGTTTGAAATGTGAGTACTTGGGTGTCTTAATATTTTTATAGACTTAAGACGAGTCACAGGAGAAGAGGGGGAAAACTGGTTTGCTAGGGGTGGACCCCCTCATCCAACCTCCTAAAATCTAGGCTCGCTTTGAAACACCTCGCCTTAATGGTCACAAATTAGTTGATTGTGAAGAAAATTAGAACCTGTAATATGTTATCGCAAACTGCCATTAACTTTCTACCAGACATCGACCTTTACGTTAATAATGTGACAGTTTTTTCGTGGCAGTAGACCGGCCGTGGCGGACAGTGGCCTAGTGGCATTTTACAGAGCAAATACCTCGTTAACGAGAGCCGTGGTGATTGTATCGAAATTATTCAGGAATCCGGCTGCTGGTTACTTATAATATGTAGTATTTGACAAATTCAATTGCAAGTAACGATACGTTACAAAATTTGTTTTGGAATTGCTCTTAAGGCCCCATTATGTCGCAACGTTTTATTTATCGTTGAACGACTGTCGCGTCTAGCCTGTTCCCATATCCAGACTGTCTGTCGTGACTGTGTCGTGGACGTTTATTTTATCGTTGAACGACTGTCGTGTCTAGCTGTTCCCACTAAACAGTGACGACAATTTATTGGTTCACGGCAGCCGCCTTGACGTTTGCACGAGAGAATTCACATTTTTATCGTGACGTTTTATTTATCGTCTGACGACTATCGTTCTATCTCTTCACATTGTCACGACAGTCTTTCGTCGTACCGTCAAAAAGGTCGTGAACGAAAGTTAAACGTGTTCTATGTGTGAACAACTTCATTCAAATAGATAAGCCACTTTAAACTGCACGACTATCTGTCGTCACGGTATAATGGGAGCGCGCTCACGCGTAACATTTAAAGTGTGACTCTTGCTGTTACTTCTTAAGCGTGTTGAAGGAATGGTGAAATTGGGTGATATAAATACATTCTATAGCAATGAGTCTTAACAACAACTGACACTCTGGATAACCCCGGTACACTGAGCAACATCGATTAATTTGTGCCGAATATATAATGTCGCTGTCGGGCCGACATCAGTTGTTTGCGCTTTCCGTGCGGCACATGTGCCATGCTGAGAACGAGCCCACGATACGATGTATTTTTTTATATAAAACCAAATGACGGGACGAACAAGTCGTGCGCCTGGTGTTGCAGTGCCACTCAGAGCTTTAAATTGTAAAGATTAGATAGATAAACACTTTATTCACTGATATAACACAAATACAGATTAAGCATAAAAGAAAAAACATAACACGATTGTCATAGCAGTGAAACGGCGCTGACTCAGCGTATGCCAAAGGCGCTGGTTTTCAGTCAGAACCAACGAGAGGGATTAAGTTATAATATAGTAAAGTTATACATTGATAATAATAATATACATAGTAAAGTGCATCTAAAATAACCTGTTTGACAAGTGCATGAGCGAATGCGAATATAATTACAGATTAGGGGCACTGCCACTGTGCCCGTCACCCTGAGATATAAGTTGACAAGTTTCACGTGCCTCATGTAATTCCACGTGTTTTGAATTAAAAAAGTTTCCTTCCAACTGAGTTATCAAATTTCTAGATAGATAAATCACCACAAAGGTACCTGAAGTGATTTTATAGTCGATCATGGTAGAAAAGCCGTGTTAGTTTATTGTTATTGGTATCACTGGGGAAATGGCGTGACATTTGTACGACGCCTGTCCACGCCTCGTTAACTCGCCGATATAAATGACCGTTTATTGCTCGAAGACATTTAAAATTTACCCTCTGGGGAACTAAGCAGATAATAAAGAAATAAGGAAGTGGTGATGTTATATTGGCATAAGTTTATTGCACTCATCGGTCAGGTTCAGCTCCAAAATATTTTATTAAATAGACCGGTGGTAATCCAGTGGAGAGACGATTTCTTATTCATTGAGTGGTCCATAGTTCGAATGTCTGTGTCGACATGTACTTTGATTTCAAGTTCACTTGCATTTTTGAATCTTTAGTAGCAATACCTCAACCTATTTACACTTCTGGGCGTGGGTCTCCTCTGAGGAAACGGTTTAGGCCATAGTCCGTCATGCAGGCTCAATTGCGGGTAGGTTATCCAAGGACTATGAACCTTCTTTGACAGGTTTCAGATGTTACATAACCGAGTTACATATTGCCACGGTCAAAAGTATTGAGCACCCTAAAAATCCCGAACGTGCACAATAAGCATTGCAGAAAACAGGTCCTATTGTTAAGGATTATTTTTTCGGCACCTATAAAGGCTTAAAACAATGACCCCCACACACCTAAAACACCTGGCGCCATAAAATTTGTCATTTTACCATTTTCGTATTTATTTCTCAGTTCACTACTATCGCTCGTTACAATATCCAGTGATCTAGTGCGCTCTTGGTGTTTTGTTTAGTTCCATTTAGTGATATTGTTGCAATATGCCTAAAAGAAATGAACTTAGTTTAGAACTTCATGTGTAGATCTAGCTTCTGCATGAGCAATGGAAATCACAGGTACAGATTTCTAAAACTGCAAAATGTTCTCATGGTAACAGACACAGAATAAATAATCGCATTACCACAGATCATGAGGACCGAAAATTGATGAGAGAGACGTTAAAAAATCGGAAAAAATTTTCTTCTGATCTCTCTGCTGATTTCTCGATTTGACTAGTCGAAATTAAGAGATCAATTTCTGCTCGGACTACTCTAAGAAGGCTTCAGGAAGTTGGCCTGACAGGCTGTAGGCCTGAAGGGCAGGAAGATAAGAGACCATGGCTCTCACAAAACAACAAAAAAGCTCGGTATGAATGAGCCTTAAAATATCAAAGTTTCACCGAAGAAGATTGGTCAAAAATCGGATGGTCAGACGAGTCAAACTTTGAGGTGAGTTAGACAATTTAACGTTCCACAGATACTTAAACAACTTGATTTTAAAATAAAATACAATGACAAAAATATTTTAAATTTCCGAAGTTTCTATTTTTCTTTAAATTTCAGATTTTTGGTACACCTGGTGTGACGTTTGTTTGTTCGCCGGGTCGGCGAAGAATTTTGTCCAACCTGTGTAGTACCAACCATAAAACACGGCGAAGGCAGCATAATGGTCTGGGGCTGCATGACTGATTCAGAAGTTGGCGAAATGTTTGAGTTTGACGGCCGCATGAACTCTTCAAAACACGTTAACGTTCTGGACTCTGGGTTGCTGCCCTCATTTTCAACCCATCAAATTCCATGTTCTAAATTTGCCTACACTATGACGTGGTTTCGAGAAAAGAACATTCAGCTTCTGGAGTGGCCTGCCCAGTCTCCGGATCTAAACCCCATAGAATATTAATGGGGTTTATTAAAGGACAACGTCAGGCGCCACTCAATAAACACAAAGGAAGAACTAAAACGCCGTCTGCGCCAAGAATGGAACGCTATACTTCCTGAAGACTGTAAAAAATCTTGTCTGCTTTCTGCCAAAAAGAATTCCTGCCGTAATTAAGGCAAAGCGTGGACCCACAAAATATTGATTTTTATTTAATAAATACTAATATGAACATCTGTAAATTATTTCATTTTCATATTCCCCAAAAAACTGTAAACTGTGGGTGCTCAATAATTTTGGCGAAGGTGTAAATGCGGCCTCGGGCCGACACACGGCGGCGCGTATTCGCCTTTGAAGTTACCGAACGGCACGGCACGTTTTCAAGAAACGAGTGACGCGGGCCACGGCCCGTGGGAAACCGCCTTAAGTGTTCGTCCAGGGAAGTACTGCCACCCTACTTATTTCTTCCACCAAGCAGTAAGGTGAGCATTACCGCCTTTCGGTTTTGAAGGGTAAGTATGATGGTGAAATTACAGGCACATGAGACAATTTATGTTTCTGGGTGACAGGGTGAGACCTCCTAAGATCTTTGTGATTTAAAGCTCTGAGTGGCACTGCAACATTTATGATCTGGCGTGTCGCTTACCATACGTACGACTTGTTGTTATTCCTGTCATTTGGTATCATAAACAAAACACTTAAAAGATACATCAGCAGCATCTTGAGTGCCTGCACTCATATCTTCAAGCTCATTAAATAAACCACGCCACGCACTCACCTCACAGGTGTCACACGCCCGACCAGTGACGTGTGCTTTACAACGGCACTGCCCCGTCCTGATGTCACACGCTTTACCCTCCGCTCCCAACGACGAGCAGTTACATCCTGCAGCAAAGAGAAATACGTTCATTCCATATAATTACTTACTATATTTTCATGGATAAGAACAACATTTAAAAACTAAAACTAGAATTAAATTATATGAATAAAATTGGGTACCGCGGTAAGGTGTCAAAGATGACGGCAACGTTCCCACTTTATATAGTGACGGCCCTTGAGTTTCCCAGACAATCTACTAATTTTTAAACGACTTCAAAAAAGGAGGAGGTTTTCAATTCGCCTGTTTTTTTTGTGTATATGTTACGCGATAACTCCAGCTAAATCCGCGATAATTTGTGAACTGATTTTGATGATTCCTTTTTTGTTAGATAGAGGATAGCTCAGTAGTGGTCCAATTTAAATTTGAAGAGAATATTCCACCTCTAAGGGTGGCAAACTAGGGGACGAATGACTATTGAGGTCTGTGTTTTAGTACTCTGTCCTGAGATTATTTGGATAAATTTTTGTACAGATAAATAATAAATAAATAAATATTAGACAACATCACACACGTTGCTCTGGTCCCAAAGTAAGTAGCTAAAGCACTTTTGTTATGGAAATCGGAAACTATGTCGGTACCACAAACACCGATACCCGAGACAATATAGAAAAGTTAGGTTTTTACACTGACCCGGCCCGGGATCGAACCCGTGACAGAGATGGCGACACCATGAAAACCGGTGTCCAAGCCACTCGACCACTGAGGCCATCATGAAGATGAAGGGCACCGGGACCCTACGGGCCAAGGGTTTCGACTCCAAAGGGTGTAAATGGGTAGCCGGAGCCGAGGTCCTGGAACTTAGTACTGGTATACACATTTTTTAGTTTTAAAGCTTTTAGTGTAACTGGCCTGTGTATGTAACTTTTAAAATCGCAATTTTTTTTTAAATTTTTTTTTCACTTACAGCCTTAGGCACTAGGAAAACCCTGTATTGCTGTTGCCATGGATACACACATATGCAGACAATCACAAATGATACCCAAACTCACGAGAGAAATTAATGTAGGAAATACTTCTCCTGGCCCGGGAATCGAATCCGGAACCTCTGCGTGGCAGTCCAGCATGGTAACAGTCTGGCCACAGAGGCAGTTCATTGTATTATAGGTTAAAGTATTTCTTAAGAAACCTGCCATATCGTGCTCCAATAAATTAAGAATGGCGATCTTAAAAGCTTTGAGTACAAAATTCTCTAATCTAAACAAGCGTTGGTCTCGTTTATCTGCTCATGCGAAAACCTGGCCTCTCGGTTTATTGGGCAAGATATTAGCTTAAATGATTAAAGTGGTTACGCTCTTGATACCGTACAAAAATTGTTGCATGAATTTGTTTATTCTAAGTTTCCGTTTTTAATGAAGCACTCGTGAAGTATGATCATTGTGTCTTATTTTCACAAATAAACTAAAAATAACTACACACTTTGGCTTCTTTAGCGAAGCGCTAGTAATGCCATAAAATAATCGTAACACAGTGTTTTGTTCAAAAGTTTCACCGGTTATATTTCATTTATTAAAACTTCATTTAAGAGGGAGCATGCCAAAAAAGTTTGGACGTTGGCTCCGCCCAAATTTGTGAAACAAATATATGCTTGAAGTTCGCGTGACATGCGACAGGAGAATTTTGCGCATTAAAAGTACCAAATTCGTTTTAGCGGAATAACTCTAAAACTAAAGGGATTTAAAAAATCCGTAGTGACGTAGTTCTCGATCATGCATAAATATAATTAATTATCTAATTTTTGTCCTAATAACCTGTAGCATTTCGAGGATAAATCGAAAAAATGTGAGAATTAGAGGTCATTTCGTGATTTTTTTATATCGAGGAAGCTTTATTGTTTTATGCTTAGAATAATAACGCATAGAATGATAGTTTCATATCAAACGAACTGTCCGAAGTGAGGCAAAAATCAAATTCATGTAGGCTAGTTTTAGTAGTAGGTTAATTTTCGGTTTTAGTCATTGACTTACAATTATATGGACGTCGGGTCCGCGCTAAAAAGTGTCCGCACTTGTAAGGCGCTAAAATCGTATACAGAGCGCCAAACTCCGCTTTAGTCTTCATTTGTTCGACTGACAGCGCGATACTGCGATGACATTACAATTTAAATTTCGCATAGGTTGACTTGGGACATTTTTTCGTGGTTTTTGTATTAGACCCGTCGTCCATTTATTTGTAAGTCAATGGTTTTAGTAAATATTTATATAAAAATACAAGTTGAAACGCGTTACTTCCTTGTGGAATGTGATGTTAGTATCTATTTTATGTTTGTCTGACGTATTTTTACACTCATTTACCGCACATTTCGCCATTTTTAGCTAAAATTCTTGTGCTTGTGTTCGCGGTGCAAGTTGGCCTTGAGCACTGAAGGCCCGCCCGCTCGTGTAGGCCCTTTTGACGCGCTTCAATTTGCCTCACTTAGCGTGTGCGGACTGGGTTTCTATGCGTTATTATTCTAAGGTTTTATGTTTCTGATTAATGTCTATGCTTGAATATATCGTGTAGTTACTCATACAATATTTTATTTTTAACTTTAAAGGGGATATACCCCTCTAAAATCAAATCGAAGATTAGGAATTTTTCCTCTGCCCTCTTAATAAGTAGTAGTCAGATGATGCTTTATATTTAAGTATTTTTTCCCGTGAATTGCTGTCAAAAACCTGGACCTGTGAAAACTTAGAAGTGCCAAATTTAAACTTAGACGGAAGTACGATGGTTTCGAACTTTTAAATCAACAAAATAATATCTTTAATGTTCGAAGTGTTTACATTTTTCGCTTTCTATATCGATAAAAGTAAATTTAAAGTTACATAAAACTACAATGCATTTTAAAAGTTTATTTTCTACAATTTTGATATGCCAGCACGATAAAGTTTAAACTATATCAATAGTACAGAATCAGTTTTTTCTATGTCTAGAAATTACGACCAATCATTGTTAATTTTCCGAGTGTTTCAAATTATAAACGCGTGAGTTTTGGCAACAACAGTTCTGAATGTAATCCAGGCTTAATTATGGCACTTGCATTGTGTTTTCCGTGGTTGGAATTTCTGTGGCCGCCTATGAACTTTCATACTAAACATAAATATGGAAACCAACCGGAATTATCTTACCAAATACTCTTACTAAGTTTCATTATCATATAAATAAAATTTTTAGAACTTAACAAACTAAGATAATGGCGATCCGCCACTGCTATAAAGTTAAAAGCTTGGTGTAAGCTTCGTAAAATTCGCTTTACAAGCGGCTATACAAGCTATCGCGAGATTAGTTTTGATTACATTTGCATGTTTCCAGATTGTACTAAAAGGGAAACAATTACGCTTTGCAAATTATCTTTTGTAATCAATTTCAACGTGCACAGGGCACTTTACGAGAGTGCAATTATCACTTTGATGTGCTTGTTTTTCTTTGTTGGTGCAGTGTTTTATTACATCGTCCTTTTCCTTAGTAATTATGCTTTTCATAAAACTAAAATTTAAAAAGCTCTCGATACCATATAGCCATCCACTTTGCTTGTTACTGCGTTCCGTTTTGGAAGGGTAAGGGTGCTTGTAAAATTACAGGCACATGAGACTTGTCACCTTGTGTCTCAGGGTGACAGGTGCAGTGGCAGTGTCATATTTTTGCGATGTAAAGCTCTGAGTGGCACTACAACTGTTACGGACAGGCGTGTCGCATACCACCAGGCGCACGATTTGTTCGTCCCGTCACATGGTATAAAAAAAACTTTGAAATTAAAGTCAGGGGAGAAACCGTCTCGACTTCTAAATTAAGAAGCAACCAGAGATGGGCAAGTGCCCGGGTTTTAAAATCGGGTTAAACCCGTTAATGCTCAAAAACTTTTTAACCTAAATATTAGTTACAACTATACTCGATTTACAAATCGAGGTTTGTTCTTCAATGTTATTATTACAAAATGTTTATTGCTTTCTGACCTAGACGATGCGATTCGCAATTCTATATGTAGAATCGATTTATTAAAGTAAATCGATACAAAAAATCGTTAGAGCACTTCAAATTTTCGTAAAAATCGGATCGTAATGGGCATTCTTTGTAGATAGTGAGAATCCCCAGAATTGTGAGGTGAGTATTGCGTAGAAAATAAGATTTTTAAATAGAAATTTGTAATAAGTATTCGCCGTTTCTGCCCTCGATTTCGGGCAGAAATGGATTAAAACCCGCCGCTTTGCGAAAATACCCAGGCTGTTTAACTGGGTTTTAACCCGTCTATCTCTGGAAGCAACCGATCTACCACTGGGATAACACCGACTTTATTATTGTATAGAATGTTTATTAGTTTTGTTATCTCCTTAACATAATAGCAATATTTATAATAAACCAAGGGAGAAATACCAGGTAATCAGAATGGCAGGAGTTTGTTATTGCAGGAAACAATGGGCCGCACCTGCGCCGTGTACACTGCGCTCGCGCAGAGCAAAGAGTATTGTATTGTTTATAGCGAATCGTATCAAATTACTGCTTGTTTTGGTGGGAACGTTTGTTTTGCATTTCGCACATGTAATCGTATTAATTGTAATGTCAACATCATAAGTTACAATTGGGCTGCAGACATTACAACACCTATTGCGGCATTGCCATAACTGAATAATGTTTATCAGATTTCTATGACTTATAATGTTATAAAGTTCATCGGCATTACCACCTTGTATTCTTAGTTTGCTTTAAAGGTGGTTTTCCTTTAAAATTAAACTACAACACTAGCCCAAGACCGCGTAGGTCCTAAAAAAAATGGGGGGAATTTGAAGAGAAAAGACGCTAAAGGATTAAAAAATTTCACTTAAGAATATGACGACATTATGCAAAAGTTTTTGGAAGAAGAATCCAGATTTAAAAGGCAAAAGGTATGGAAGAATACAAGAAGAAATACCTACTAAGCCGTATTTAAAATTCAATGTTTTATTAGCAACTGAACTAAGTGATTTAAGTGAAAGTGAAAACGTGAATAATGACTCCCGCTCCCTATAAGACCATTTAAAAAACCCAAAGT